ACGCTATTTTTCTTTGTTGACCGACGGCACTGACAAAGGCATTTGTGAACAGGAAGTTTTGTATCTCCTTTTTATAAGCAGTGAAGGTAAATGCAATACACTGAACTGAATTATTTCGATTCTTGTCTTTAGATGCGTTATTTCTATTTTTTCAATGGACAGGTATCCCTCAAATAAGGTTTTTAGCAATTGAATCACCTACATCAACAAGTGCAGATGGCCTTAAGAAGATGATACAAGATTGCTTTTCCCGGTTTCACATGAACAATTTCCCAAGACAACTGGTAGCGCTAAACGTGGATGGAGCTTCGGTAAATTTGGGTAGCATAAACGGACTTGCAGCCAAACTTCGCAAAGACTCACCATGGCCAGAGGCGGATTTAAACTTAGTCAACTAAGTCGGGCGACTAACGTATTAACGTGTCACTTTCAAAAAATTCCGTGGGTATTCCTTAAATTATAACACTTGAGTGCTTTTAAAATTTCCGCAGGATTTGGGTCCATACCGATTTTGATTGGTTTAAATTGATCAATTTGCGAGCATTCATTGGTTAGCGTATCGTGCAGGATCTGCAGGATCTATGTTCATTCTGTGATTCTGATTTGCCCAGACCAGCTATAACTGTAATTGGTGGAGATTTCTTGCAGGATCTATACCAATTTAAAGCTTAATGATTGGTCAACATTGTTAGTTTTTTGCAGGATATATCTATTTTGGTATATGATGTTGCCGAATTCGGATTTGATTGGTTGTTGTAGCGAACTTAGTCGGAATATATTTGTCTGCTTCATTACGCTTGAATATTTATCGATCGTCATGGCTAACTCTAGCAGTATTTTAGATCGGGTTCTCTCTGACTTAAAAGTATGATGTTGTTGCTTAAGAGTTAAGACCTTTGAGGAATTATGTGGTATATATAATTCTTCTCGTTTCTTAATGCCTGAAGAGCATTTTCCTTAATTGGACGATCTTTGTATCGTGATGTAAATGCTGAGACAGTCTATTTGCCTCATCATGTAGGCCGACAATACGAAGCCATCGGTTGCTCTAAGGTAAAATTAGTTAAATTAACATAAGTAGAAATGAATATAAGCCTAATTGCGTAGTTGTTATGACACGTTAAGACCAAACTGCCGATTTGTTGTCATTTCATTGTTGTTGAAATGATCGCTTAACTCGCTTTGTTGACATTGCATAAATTGTTGCAGTCTTATAATAATCAAGAAATCTTTCGACTGCTGTTTTATTAGATCTGAACCATCTGAAATTGTCTATACAGCTCTGCTTCTCTGGCCTTGGTTGGAAGCAGTGCTCTCATTCACACTTTGAGCTATGTATCTATAGAGCTTTATATGCAAATTATTATTGTTATCATCCAATATTCACTTCCACCTTAGAGAAGCATGGTGACAAGGTCTCTGTTAGTGCAAAAAATGTTTTGGCTATGTCCTGTTGTTTTGAAAGTGTGGATTCACGTTTATCAGGGCTTGATCTTGTTAAAATGGAAGCTCTTTGCAACTGTAGAGATAAAATTTGGGGTAGTTTTTTGTATACTTGCTCTCTCCTCAGTTACTAATAGAATCATTTCTTTGATGTATCCTGATTGTGGAGAAGTTTTTTTGTTGTTATTCAACCAAATTATTTCACCTCGTCTTCCTTTACCAACACCACCTACTCAATGTAACTATTTATACCTCTTGTTTTGTTCTACAACTCTATTGACTTCTAGTAAAGTCTTTAAGCCAAATCACTTTGCACCTCTTATTTTCAAACCTATCAGTAAAACTAAAAGAAAGGCTTCTGCTTTGTTAGAAAAGCAAACAAACAAGAAAATTCCTCATGTTCAGGCAAAGTTGAAAGGAGAGTCTTCTACTGTTAACATTTCTAATTTTTCAACCAGTTTCAACCCCAGCAAGTAATAAGGCTAAACAATTTATTTTGCCCAAATTATTTAGTACTACACAAACACAATCAACACAAAGGTGCCTGCCATCACTAGTCTTGGTTTTACATAACCCAAAACAAGAACTTTTGCAATCATTTTCATTAGATTTTCACAGCAATATCCAAATGATGTGAGATATTTTAGAGAAAAAGCTAGAAATATGAATGATTCTCAAAAGCTCCAGCTCATTCACAATGTTTTAAACCGAATAGATCCTACCCATTTCCTAAATCAGCTGATGGTCGATCTTTTCTTTATTCGTGGCTGGAAGATTGTTTTTGGTTGTGTTACCCTTCTTTGGATGGTGCTTTTTGTCTGCCTTGTGTTTTGTTTGGTGATCAGTTTCGAATAAAATACAAAAATTAAAACTTTTAGTGAACCAATGACATATTGGCCTGATGCTAAAGCTTGCTTCAAGCGCCATATTGGTTTGAGTTCTAAGGCTCTCACCAGAGCAGGTTTGCGAGCACACATAATAAATATTTGTCATTAGTTGGTCAGGCATCAGGAGAAGGACTGCAGATTGAGGTGTTGATTGATGAGCACAAACAGCAAGTCATCAGGCAAAATAGGAAAAACTTGTATCAATAATTGATACTATTAAACTTTGTGGTAGACTTGGGTTAGCATTAAGAGGGCACGGTGATGATTCTTCATATCATCCGAAGTTGGTTCTTACTCAAAGGTGGTGTTGGTAACTATGTTGAATTGTTAAATTTTCGTGTTCGGGCTGGTGACACAGTTTTAGCTGATCATTTGAAAAACTGTCCAGAATGCTTCTTATATTTCAAAGACTACTCAAAATGATCTAACTGCTTGTTATCACTGAAAAATAATTATTCTTTTGAATTGAATATGTGACGATTAATCATCGAGCAGTACCAATTGCAACGAATTAAATAAATTAGTTAACGCTATCAAAATCTATAAGGAGCTTATGAAATTATCAGTCTTCTACTGTTTACGTAAACAATTTGAATAAATGTATGGTATAAGTTAGTTAATTATTAGTATAAATGCTTGCATTTGAATTTACGTGAATTTAGAGAAAGTGATTTTGCATGGAATTTAAATTATGTCAGAATTTAATGCTTTCAGAAATGAACAAGCTTGAGCATGTAGGAAATAATTTGAGTGGTTATGTACTTTTAAAATTTTGCTGACGTTTTATTGAAAGTTTTATTTTCACCAATTAAATTGTTTGTGTTCGTCGGCGTCAGGTTAAGAACGAAATTTTACTTCGAGTTGAAGTAGCCCAATAATCACTAATTTTTTGTTAATTTACTTTCTAAGGACTCGCCCAATAATGAACTTGGACGTTTCATTGACTTTAAGCAGGAAGGAGATACTTGTGGAAAATTATACCGTATTCTGTCCCAACAGTTCTATACAATGGTAGGAATTATATTCTCTATATTTTCTTGATGTGTAAACAATAAACCTGGCTTAACTTGGTTAATGTGTTTTAAATGAGACTACAACTCGTGTAACCAGTGCATCCCTCTGGTTACGAGCCCTGGGGAGATGTCACTTGTGGAAGTTGTCGGTCAAGGAGATGTATGCATTGAGAGTTGTTTATGATGGGAAATTTTAACGGGGATAGAAACCAACAAGGGAAATGTTAACGTATACAGTACCGCTCGCGTATTTGTTAACATAATTTGCGTGTGATACGCGTATTGTTCTCGTATCATACGCGTATGTTTTCATCATACGCGTACCGTATGTTAACAAATACGCGAGCGGTATTGTATGTCAGTATAAAATTTGACCAGACGAAATGTTGGTTGTGGAGAATGAAAGGTATATTATGTGAGAAATCTGAACATAAGAGTCCGTTCACTTGTGATGTTGTTGTAACAAGCTTTTTATTTAGTTTGGATGTTACAGTGTGTTTCCAATACATCGGCAAAGTGTCTCTGGTCCTTATGGTACGTATGCATGGTGAAGTTTAGATGATTAACTGTTTCTGTTCAAATGATTGTAATTGCTTTGGTCGAAGAGAATTGCATGACAGAATATCGAAATCAACTTATGTCAGTGACAATAGTAAGAATAAAGCTCAAAACTATCAAATATGTAGTTATACGGAATGGAAGGTATTGTTGTGTATTGTTGACATTTCATTTCCCTTTTGCTACAGCATTTGTATCATTGTAATAAGATCAACGAAAATATTTTTACAGAACCGTTTGTTGTGCAAATCATACAAATAAACCACGACTTTTTAAAATATATACATGTTTTGGCATGCTTTTGTGATCTTCATTGTTTATGAAAGTGTATAGTGATCATTCCTAAAGATGGAAGGAGATTAATAATCTTTTAGACCTAGTCGCAACTATTGACATAATATGAATATACAACTTCCATTTTTGAACATAAACACAAAAGCTGTACACTGCATTTATCATTTTATCTACAAATGTAAATTTAGTCGGCACAACTGTGTAAAAATATGATGTCAAAGCAGCCATTTTGGCAGGTTTACCTCAAATACCAATGCTCAACAGTGCATGAAGACAGAAGGCAAATTTTTCACTTGATTGGATTTTCAGCTAACGGGTGGACATTGAACCTCCATTGGTAAACTTTGAATAAACATGTTGCTTAGTAGTTATACTTTTAAAACGTATGTTTACGTTAATATTGCTTGCTTTGAATAATAATTCATTTTTTATATACCGAAAATAGCATAAGCTCTCCGAAACATGCCTATTTTAAAAGATTCGTTGTCTTTTTGTCACGGTTTTGTGTTATTATAATATTATGAAAATCACACTTTATGCTGCAAACCTCAAAATTTGTAAAAATTCATGAGAATTTCGATATGGCTAAAAGCAGATAGGTTTTGCACAAGCTTGTGTCAAAACTTAAAAGCGTTTATTGTTCTTTCATAAATAATCACTGTTGAGTATGTGGAAAGTTGCTGTAGACTGAAAAGTTAAGAGAGGATTGCAATAATTTTTTGACGTACATTGTGTTTACGTAAAGAAACCTAAATCTTTTCATTCATAAGACATACTTATTTGAGTCTGTTTGTTTTCTTCCTAGAAATTCAATACCAGTTCGATTTGGATTATCAAACATTGCAAAATTTTAATAAGAGAGTGTATTTTAATGAATCAGAAATGTAATTTACTCCAAGCGTGATAAAATAAGACTTCCAGGCAAGAATGTTACGTCGTGTGTGGAATTCACTCAGATTCATGTTGAAGTAAGTCAATATCTTTCTTAGTCGTTGTGCTTATTGGGCTAGACAGTTGTTAACCTAACACTAATGTCGCTTTCATGCTGAACCCTGGCTAAGATTGTCATTGTCATATTTCTGTCGTGATATGATGGTTTGTAAGGATAAGGGGAGGGGCTAAGGGCTACTATTATGGTTAAAGGGGCTACTTTATTCTGAAGGGGCTACTATTATTAGGGTTAAGGTCAAAGTTAGGGGTTTAAAGTAAGTGTTACTTTAAGGTCACTTCATGTATGGGGATTAGGGTTTTGTACGGTTGTTAACGTTATTCACTTACGTATTGATTCTTTGTTGGTGTGTTTCTACAAGCGAATAAATACTTTGAACCCAAAATGCCATGAGCTTGTTTTCAGATTATTCAAATTTTTGATTCCTTAAGTAGTGTTTTGCCAAATAAGTGTAAAATTATTTACGTAAAACTCTACCTAAAACTATTAACATATATGTTTTGCTGCAGAGATCTGTTTTATGTATTTCAATGTCGCCGTAGGTTTGTTTATATTTTTGTTTTGTCTTTTTAACATCATGTAATTTATGTGAATGTCAACATATCGTTGTAAAGTACTACATGAATCACAAGTACTTTGCTTTTCACGCGCTTTTCGTGTATTTCAAAGTTCTTGCAACAGAAAATCATTTAAACTTTCTCAAATGAAGTAATGTTAATTCATCAATCGAAATATTGAAAAAACTACGTTTTGTACAAACCGTTTAATGGGAAACTAATGTGAAAATGGCTTTTCAAGCTTAAATACTTACAGCTTTATCCACCCCATGTATTCGCTTCTAAACGTTCGATTGCAGTACTTCTAATTCTTTTATTGTGTACGTTAAAATTCTTTCTTAAATTTTGTGAACTGTAGGAAAACAATCTTGTGGACCGATTGAGGCTTGGAGCCAACAGCATCGGTTTCAAAATAAATTACAGTCTAATTTTACCACCAAACTGCGAAAATACGACTTTATGTCCGATTTTGGATACAAGTAAAGGCTCTGTTAGAACGGAACAGGTAGGAATAATTTGGAATATGACTTACTACTTTTGTAAGGAAGAGTTTCTGTTTGTAAAGTAGTTTTGTTAGTGGTACAAGGTTATTATAATTTTCTGATTAAATTTTTCTTAAGTATTCCGATTTTTATGGGAAATTTAAAAACTTTGTCCGTGAAAAGTTCAGAGCAAATTTACACAGATTTATTAACAGGTTTATGAAATTCTTTCGTAACCTGTTAATAACCACCTTTATGGCAAAGTAATTCCTTGTAAAACAATTAGCATTTCATTGGCGAATCGCACATTGAAAGAGTGAAGTCACCACTAGGCAATGTAACTGCCGAACTATTTGCCGGGTATCATTTTTGCGAATTGTCCTATGAACACCTGTCTGTAGGCTACAAATAGAAAGTTTTAGTTTGGCGTTGACGACAAAATGCAAATGTCACGTGATCAAGTCTTTGCAGTTTACGTTGCGGTTCAGGTTTTAACGGCATGAAGCACTTCTTGCGGTAGGTGATGTACGGCAAGCTTTTACTATTAATACACCAAGTGACGTTTATGGCCCTGTAATTATTTTATGTGAGTATACATCATGAATATGCCTTTTCATCGACAAACGTATAACAAAACATGAAATCTAGCTCCTGACAATGCAAATTATAAAAGACAAATGCAAAACGCCAAACTATATTCAAATTTTTTCGAAACGGCAAACCTCAACGGCAAGCAGGTAGTTGAGGTTTATCGTTTGCCGCAGACGCTAAACTAAAACTCGCTATTATCGTGAATTGTTTCTCGGACCACCTGTTTATGGGCTACCATTGTCGTTAATTAGACTGAAAACTGTTTGTAGGCTACCATTATTGTGTTGTTGATTGTACTGAGAAACCTGTTTGTAGGCTACCATTATTGTGAATTGTACTGACAACGAATGCAATTATGATCTCAAAACGACAGTAAGGTAACGTTTTCGTTTATTCTTTACTTGTACTTTTAGATTTGCGCGACTATGCATGTTAGATTTTCTTTGGTTTTTGGTTTTTCAAAACAAAAGAAATTTTAACAAAATTATTTAAAACTACTTACTACTACGCTGGGGAGATTGTCGAAAAGGGCTCAAATACTCGGAAGCGCCGGTCGCTCGTAGCTTCCAGTTTTTTTTGTGATATACGCGAGCGACCATCAATCATTCTGAGCTCATTGAAAGAAACATGTTTGGTTTGAAATACTTGAATAGGTATTGAAAGACAAGTTCAAAAGAGCAACAACAAAATACATTTGAAAACGTTTTTCGTTCACTTTTTTTAGCTTTGTCAACATTGAATAGTTTTATTGTGTATTTTAACTAATTTTATGTATTTGTACTAAATACATATGTTTAAGCAAAATTTTCAACTGTCATAGGCTCGTAGCGAATCGTTGTTATATTGTCATCACTAACATTGTTCCATATCTTAACTTTAGTGTGCAGCAACTATATTATTTGTATTAACTGGATTGAATTGATTTGGTGTGTAACTTTTTTGTTTAGTGTTGATGAAAATGAAATAATTATTGGTGAAACCAATTCCAGAAAAGTGACTGTTGAACTCAGCAGTTCTGGCGAAGTTGCGTACAATCCTACCATTGCATTAACTCATGACCCGTCATTACAGTATGAAGATTTCGATGTATCCGATGTAAGTTATTGTTTCAGTATTTTGTTAATAAACTATGTATTAATGAACGATAACGATTTGTTTGTAGACATTGTGAATTTTTCTCTGTCAATTTTATAGAGATCGTTCAGAATTGTGCCAGATGCAACACTAAGTAGACCTGATTACGATTTGTTTCAACTTCAAGGACCCCTTGATCCAAATCAAAAGGTTAGCCATTTGGGTTTCATATGAAGTAGTTGTGAATCATTGAGCCTTTTTAAGAACAGGCATATTATTGTGGGTTGCCACGCACATGCGCTGTTCATTATTTTATTCCGCAAAAAAGACATCCGACCTTTAGGCCAACTGACGTCCATATTATTGATCTCTATGTTTCTTCAGGATGTAGCATACACTATATATTTTCGGTAATTACCAAAACGGTTGCGTTTTAGCGTATAATCCGCTCTCTATTTTACTGATTAAAGTTTGAATTTAACACTCAGCAGCTAAAGATATTTTACAAGTATAAGCTTTGCAGAAGATCACAAACATCTAATATGTCTCGTTTCGGCGACTTATGCAAAGGACTTTATTCGCCATATTTGCACACAATTTGTGTATCTCGCAATGCTCTAGTCAGGAAAATGCAAAGCTAAATGTGTTTTCTTTCAAGTTTTATTGGTTCGACAAAACATAAAAATGACAGTGTATTATATATATAATAGAGTCAAAGTATGAGCTATAGCCTAGAACTACAATAAAACTTATATTTACAATTCCTCCGCATTCAAAGGTAAAACTTAAGTTCAAATCGGGACAGAATTGTCGACAAAAATCTCCTATTAAAATATCATTTAAAAATACTGCAACTACAAACCAAAAATACAAATGAGATTTAATACATTACATAGTTTAAGGTTTCAGATTACTGTTAAGATCTGATGTTATGTAAGGAATGGTAAAATGGAGTTGACAAGATAAAATGGGCTGGGGAGTGATGGGAAAAAGTGCAAATATAAAAAAGAGGGGTTGAACTAAAAAGGTTCAGGGGAATGGAGCAGCCTTGGATGTTAAGTGATGTCTTTCATTTAGAAATTCAGCATGGGTGAAACGACATGTTTTATGAACACCAGAATCTTTGAACACTTGGGAAATACTCCTACTACTGGAAAACGCTATTCTAACTTTTTAATGTCAAGTGTTCTTTATCACATTAATACTTTTAACCACCATTCTTTTCAAGATTTAAAATCATTTTATATTGCTCATACACACGAACTTGAACACGTGGTTTAGGCTAACCACGTGTACGCAGTGCGTACCTGTTTTTGAAGCGATTTTCAGACCCTGGTTTCGTAATGGGACGCTTCCGGAAAGAAGATAAGGAGAAGATCTGCTTACTTTTTAATTGAGAAGTTTTACAACTGATATAAACTATGTGAGCGTAAAGTTATTAATCTTTAGATTTTTTTGACAGGTGACACTGGAAATTACATACTCGACCACCGCTGTACTTGGTAAAAAGAATCTGGAAATTTTGTTAGGGTGAACGCGTAAGTCTGTTTTCTTTATATTTTAATTGGTTATTTGCCGTATAAGACGGAATATTTGTTAAAGTTACATGCTTCTTGTGGCTTTATAAACGCTACGTTGAACCGTGCGTACAACTAATATTTTTTGTTACATATGATCAATTACATTAACTTCATTATAACTGATCCTCGAGGAATATAATTTTCTGAATATTAGAATTCTTGAGAAATATAATTCTTTACAAAATCGTGGATCCACGAGATTGATCTATTCAATCGTGATGATAACATAGGTTTTTTTGAACAGTGTTGTTCGCTTCTCCTGCTTGGTGTTGTGTTTGTACAGTAACGTATATAAATAAGCTATGAAAGAGATCTTTCATTGTTTTAGATGGTTATCGATCTTTGTAATTTAGCCTCGAATTTAGCAAACTCTTTCATGCAATCAATGCGTTATGTGCTTTTGTGATGTTAATTCTTAACATTACATGTCATTTGATTTCTTTCTTATGTTTTTACTTTGTTTTAGGCTAAGCGGAAGCGAGATTAATGATGAAAATAACAACGCCACCATTTCTATGATTGTCAAGCGCAATGTCAGACTACAAATTACCGGGTATGTGGGACTATCTGCTTTTATTTTAAGTTTGGTTAAGTTGCATCTCACTAAGAAGACTGCTGTGTCTGAAAACTTAAGGAGTATTGTGAATTTGTAAAGAACTTTCTTTACAAGCTAATCATTGGATATCGATGTAACTTAGCTACCGTTGCACTCGTTGTCTTTTAAATACACGTAAATCGGTCATCTATCGTAAACAACCTTTTTGCAGATGCGCAGTGACTTTGGTCAAATGTAATATCAATCAATAGCGGATCCAGCGTTCGTCAAAATGAATTATAGCTGTTCAATTTTAAAGTCAAAGTACTCTCAGAAAAACGCTATTGATTTTGAATTTCCGAAGAATGTAATTTTACAAATGGATTCGCCTTTTTTTTTGATGTACTTAGAAATGTTAATACTTGCTAAAATGTGCTACAGTAATTTATTTTGCCCTAGATCCGCCACTGTTATCAATATTACCAACTGATAAACTTTAAGACATTTTATTTAAAAGATGAACTTTGTGTTTTTAGCACAACTGTTCCTAAGTCACTAGACTATCCAGAAAAAGGTCCCGATTTAAATATAATAGACAACGACTATAGCTCTGTGAACATTTCTTCTATAGGACCACCAATAACCATTACCATCGAGGTAAGGAGAACATGAATTTCCCTTCCACCACTATTCTTTTCAAAACTATAATCTCGTATAACAAAAAAATAATTACATGTTTGTAAATGATGATCGTCCAGGTTAATAAAGTCCTGAGAAGGACTGTTTTTGTTGTTGTTGACTGACGTTTCGACAACCTTAGCAGTAGTCATCTTCAGAGTCAAAAAATGACTCTGTCAATGAGATGTCAAAAATGATTTTTTGACTCTGAAGATGACTACCGCTAAGGTTGTCGAAACGTCAGTCAACAACAACAAAAACAGTCCTTCTCAGGACTTTATTAACCTGGACGATCATCGTTTACAAACATGTAACGATACTCCCGGGTTCAAACCATTTACTTTGAAAAAATAATTAGTTATATAGTCATTTTGGAGGTCGCCTCCTAACTATGAAAAAGAAAATTATCTTCGCTATTTGGTGCCATTGCATATATTTCTAAATTTCTTGTCTCAATAAATTTGGTTTCTATGACTTTTTGATGATGCTTGTATGACTTAAATCAGTACCTCTCTGATGCATTATATTACCTAACATAAATGCCCGTCAACTTTTGAGTTGATTTTTGTTTTAATGCATTGGATATCATTATAGGTTTACTTACGACGTTTATACTTCATTTAGGTTGCAAATGAAGGTCAAAGTGATTTAGAAGATGTGATACTTCATATAAGCGTCCCTCTAACCGAAAAAGACAAGGAATTCAATTATCTTCTGTATCCTGTCAGTATTAAGGTCAGTTCTGGCAGTTGTATGATTTTTATTTTGACAATGTTTTACATCGGCGATGTTTTTCTGTGAATTTATCGAAGTGGATTATTCGAATAGGAAAGTTCACAGTTTAATTTTGTTTAGTTTTTGTAAAGCACTGTGGAAAGGTTTGCTAGGCTATGGTGGAAATGTTTACAAGGCTATGTTGAAATTGTTGTTTCTATGTCATAAATGTTATGTTTTGTTTGTTTGATGTAAACTACACATACAATTTTTGATATAAAGCATTAGGTTTAAGACGTTTCTGTAAACAATCTTATTTACATCTTTACCAACTGTTTAATGAACATTAAGTAACGTATGTCGTTTCAGGGAAGAGGTAATGCCAACAATGCAGTATGCAGTGGAAGAGCCTTGAATCCTGCTAACCTGTCCTTAACTGCGGTAAGGATAACCAGGAATAAACTAATTGTTTGAGACTGCCCGATGTATTTAACTTAAAGTAAATGCTTTGAACCCGGGAATATCGTTACATGTTTGTGGATGTAGATCGTCCAGGTTAGTATAATCCTGAGAAGTACTGTTTTTGTTGATGTTGACTGACGTTTCGACAACCTTAGCGGTAGTCATCTTCAGAGTCAAATTATCCTCAACTTTATTTGTTTAAGTGTATGAAACTTTCACTTCAAATTCGTAGATGCTTTGTCACCGACATATTTTTTTATCAGGACTCGCAAGGAAGAACTAGACGGAGAAGAAATACAGAAACCCTGGTATGGTCACGATTGCAGTTTATCTTAGACAATGGTTTAAATAAAATAAGATCGACCACTACGAAAGTAAAATATCTAAAAATTGACCCAAGTTTGTGAGGCGATAGTGCAATTACTTTGATTTAAATCTCATTTTTGTATGAAATTGCTTGGAGTTTTTGCAGCCGGGTTAGAAGTGGCAAAATAACAACAGACAACTTATACTGGAACTTTTTAGATAAATTATCCACAGTATTTTTTATTATTTGTTTTATTGCCTAAAGCTTTAGATATTCGAGTTTTTCTCAAGTGTTAAGAATACTTCACTTTAAAAGTGTCTTCTAGAGTCTAAATTATGTGTTTTGCCAAATACAAAAAACGCGTTATTTTTGCCTGTATCGTTGTTCATCAAGTAATATTGATGAAATACTTAGTCTGTTTTAATCAAAACATTCAAACTGCTTCGAATTTGTTTTTCATCTCATCAGCGAGTCAGGTGCAATGGGTTTGATTGAATTTTTTCCATTGTTGTCAAACTTTCTTCTTTCTAGTCACCTCGGACGATGGATTCAGGACTGGTGACTTGTACAATCAAAGAAATTAAAAGAAATGGTCGTTTTGTGGCAGACTTAAATGTGCGACTGTGGACTGCGACTCTTGCTGCGGTAAGGCATAAAATAAATGAACATTTGTGGCAATACATTTCTTACTTCCAAAAATACTTTGACGAGGTGTGTTGCATCAACAACTTCCCAACACAGACAGTAGTTGAATGAGAGTTGATTATTGAAATCCGGATATCAAAATTTATTTTGAAATCGGTTTTTGGTGATATTTTGTACACATGAATACGGTTATTTCGGTATTTTATACTGCGTAGTAACGAAATGAAAGTGTCGTCCAGTAGAACTTATCACAATCACGTTTACAAACTTAAGTTAAAACATGCAGCCAGGCGATAGTCACTGTCCTAGTTCATAAATACATCTTACGATTCGGCAGTTTTGGTTTAGCAATTCAAAGACAAATACATAAATACCTATTTTAAAAAAAGGCGTCAAAATTCTATTTGAAGAACAAATATTTTTTGGTTGTTTTTTTCGTGGAAACACGTGCTATATGCTTTTTATTTTTCAAAGAATAAACTTTAAATTCACTATCGATATACCGGTATTTTGATGTCGGTATACCTGTATATACCGGTATTCTGATGTTAGTATTCCTGTATATACCAGTATTCTGATGTCGGTATACCTGTATTTACCGGTATTCTGATGGCGGTATATTGGTATTTGCGTTATCACCTACCTAACTTTGCCATAAGTATTTTTGAAATTTGCAAAACTTTGCCATTAATATCTGCAACTTTCTTATACGGATTTAGTATTATCCTAAAGATCTTCTCATGATTGTCCAATTTAATGCTGAATATGTCAACAATCTTAATGAGAGCGAATCACCTCATCGTGGACGTCAGGAGGTTAGCAATTTTACTTTTTCTTAAACATGCGAATTTTTATACATGTTTGATAACTTTCATACAGGTTTACCCTTAAGGAAGGCGTTCTGAGTTTGTTTGAACTGTGTTTTTTTACAATATCGTTTATTGTAGGTCAAAATTCGAGTAACTCCTGAAAATGCTCCTAGAAAATCCAAATCAACTCCAGTGTGGGTTATTATTGTCTCTGTGCTTGGTGGTGTTTTGGTGTTTTATTAGTATAAATGCTTGCATTTGAATTTACGTGAATTTAGAGAAAGTGATTTTGCATGGAATTTTAATTATGTCAGAATTTAATGCTTTCAGAAATGAACAAGCTTGAGCATGTAGGAAATAATTTGAGTGGTTATGTACTTTTAAAATTTTGCTGACGTTTTATTGAAAGTTTTATTTTTCACCAATTAAATTGTTTGTGTTCGTCGGCGTCAGGTTAAGAACGAAATTTTACTTCGAGTTGAAGTAGCCCAATAATCACTAATTTTTTGTTAATTTACTTTCTAAGGACTCGCCCAATAATGAACTTGGACGTTTCATTGACTTTAAGCAGGAAGGAGATACTTGTGGAAAATTATACCGTATTCTGTCCCAACAGTTCTATACAATGGTAGAATTATATTCTCTATATTTTCTTGATGTGTAAACAATAAACCTGGCTTAACTTGGTTAATGTGTTTTAAATGAGACTACAACTCGTGTAACCAGTGCATCCCTCTGGTTACGAGCCTTGGGGATATGTCACTTGTGGAAGTTGTCGGTCAAGGGAGATGTATGCATTGAGAGTTGTTTATGATGGGAAATTTTAACGGGGATAGAAACCAGCAAGGGGAAATGTTAACGTATACAGTACCGCTCGCGTATTTGTTAACATAATTTGCGTGTGATACGCGTATTGTTCTCGTATCATACGCGTATGTTTTTCGTATCATACGCGTTTCATACGCGTACCGTATGTTAACAAATACGCGAGCGGTATTGTATGTCAGTATAAAAATTTGACCAGACGAAATGTTGGTTGTGGAGAATGAGAAAGGTATATTATGTGAGAAATCTGAACATAAGAGTCCGTTCACTTGTGATGTTGTTTTAACAAGCTTTTTTTTATTTAGTTTGGATGTTACAGTGTGTTTCCAATACATCAGCAAATGTGTCTCTGGTCCTTATGGTACGTATGCATGGTGAAGTTTAGATGATGAACTGTTTCTGTTCAAATGATTGTAATTGCTTTCGGTCGAAGAGAATTGCATGACAGAATATCGAAATCAACTTATGTCAGTGACAATATTGAGAATAAAGCTCAAAACTATCAAATATGTAGTTATACGGAATGGAAGGTATTGTTGTGTATTGTTGACATTTCATTTCCCTTTTGCTACAGCATTTGTATCATTGTAATAAGATCAACGAAAATATTTCTTACAGAACCGTTTGTTGTGCAAATCATACAAATAAACCACGACTCTTTTAAAAATATATACATATTTTGGCATGCTTTTGTGATCTTCATTGCTTATGAAAGTGTATAGTGATCATTCCTAAAGATGGAAGGAGATTAATAATCTTTTTAGACCTAGTCGCAACTATTGACGTAATATGAATATACAACTTCCATTTTTTGAACATAAACACAAAAGCTGTGCACTGCATTTATCATTTTATCTACAAATGTAAATTTAGTCGGCACAACTGTGTAAAAATATGATGTCAAAGCAGCCATTTTGGCAGGTTTACCTCAAATACCAATGCTCAACAGTGCATGAAGACAGAAGGCAAATTTTTTCACTTGATTGGATTTTCAGCTAACGGGTGGACATTGAACCTCCATTGGTAAACTTTGAATAAACACGTTGCTTAGTAGTTATACTTTTAAAACGTATGTTTACGTTAATATTGCTTGCTTTGAATAATAATTCATTTTTTTATATACCGAAAATAGCATAAGCTCTCCGAAACATGCCTATTTTAAAAGATTCGTTGTCTTTTTGTCACGGTTTTGTGTTATTATAATATTATGAAAATCACACTTTATGCTGCAAACCTCAAAATTTGTAAAAATTCATGAGAATTTCGATATGGCTAAAAGCAGATAGGTTTTGCACAAGCTTGTGTCAAAACTTAAAAGCGTTTATTGTTCTTTCATAAATAATCACTGTTGAGTATGTGGAAAGTTGCTGTAGACTGAAAAGTTAAGAGAGGATTGCAATAATGTTTTTTTTTGACGTACATTGTGTTTACGTAAAGAAACCTAAATCTTTTCATTCATAAGACATACTTATTTGAGTCTGTTTGTTTTCTTCCTAGAAGTTCAATACCAGTTCGATTTGGATTATCAAACATTGCAAAATTTTAATAAGAGAGTGTATTTTAATGAATCAGGAAATGTAATTTACTCCAAGCGTGATAAAATAAGACTTCCAGGCAAGAATGTTACGTCGTGTGTGGAATTCACTCAGATTCATGTTCGAGTAAGTCAATATCTTTCTTAGTCGTTGTGCTTATTGGGCTAGACAGTTGTTAACCAAAACGCATGCTGAACGCTGGCTAAGATTGTCATTGTCATATTTCTGTCGTGATATGATGGTTTGTAAGGGGAGGGCTAAGGGCTACTATTATGGTTAAAGGGCTACTTTATTCTGAAGGGGCTACTATTATTAGGGTTAAGGTCAAAGTTAGGGGTTTAAAGTAAGTGTTTACTTTAAGGTCACTTTAGGAGTAATGTATGGGGATTAGGGTTTTGTACGGTTGTTAAGGTTACTTCACTTACGTATTGATTCTTTGTTGGTGTGTTTCTACAAGCGAATAAATACTTTGAACCAAAATGCCATGAGCTTGTTTTCAGATTATTCAAATTTTGATTCCTTAAGTAGTGTTTTGCCAAATAAGTGTCGTAAAATTATTTACGTAAAACTCTACCTAAAACATTAACATATATGTTTTGCTGCAGAGATCTGTTTTATGTATTTCAATGTCGCTTAGGTTTGTTTATATTTTGTTTTGTCTTTTTATCGCCATGTAATTTATGTGAATGTCAACATATCGTTGTAAAGTACTACATGAATCACAAGTACTTTGCTTTTCACGCGCTTTTCGTTCAAAGTTCTTGCAACAGAAAATCATTTAAACTTTCTCAAATGAAGTAATGTTAATTCATCAATCGAAATATTGAAAAAACTACGTTTTGTACAAACCGTTTAATGGGAAACTAATGTGAAAATAGCTTTTTTCAAGCTTAAATACTTACAGCTTTATCCACCCCATGTATTCGCTTCTAAACGTTCGATTGCAGTGCTTCTAATTCTTTTTATTGTGTACGTTAAAATTCTTTCTTAAATTTTGTGAACTGTAGGAAAACAATCTTGTGGACCGATTGAGGCTTGGAGCCAACAGCATCGGTTTCAAAATAAATTACAGTCTAATTTTACCACCAAACTGCGAAAATACGACTTTATGTCCGATTTTGGATACAAGTAAAGGCTCTGTTAGAACGGAACAGGTAGGACATCAGAAGGTTAGCAATTGCACTTTTTTTTAAACATGCAAATTTTTATACATGTTTGATAACTTTCATACAGGTTTACCCTTAAGGAAGGCGTTCTGAGTTTGTTTGAACTGTGTTTTTTACAATATCGTTTATTGTAGGTCACAATTCGAGTAACTCCTGAAAATGCTCCTAGAAAATCCAAATCAACTCCAGTGTGGGTTATTATTGTCTCTGTGCTTGGTGGTGTTTTGTTACTGGCTCTTTGTATTTTCGCTTTATTCAAAGTAAGCAAAAAAGTTTCGTGTTAATAAGGTTTGAATTTGCTATAATAAAGTCAGGATGGTAAAACACAAGACTATAGACACACCGTAAATAGTAGACATTATTTAATCTAAACGTTTCGACAAGTGTTACATGTCATCTTCAGTAGAAATTGTTTTTTAAAATAGCAACAGGAAGTTGGTGAAGTTTAGGATAAGTGGCGCGGAGTTTAGGCCAAAAAGCAAACAGTTTCTACTGAAAATGGCATGTAGCACTTGTCGAAACGTTTGGATTAAATTATGTTTACTGTTTACGGGGAGTGTCTATTGTCGTGTTTTACCAAAATACTCTTTGGCAGTCGTAATTATTTTTGTAAAGTCAGGATAGCCATTTATGTTTTATCAATTTTACCACGACTTACTCATATGTAAATGTTGCGTTATTCGTGTTTGTCACAGTCACATAGTTTTATGGTTAGTAGTATTTCCTTTACCACTCTACAAGACTGCGCTTTACTCCTTAATTTTCTTTCTAATGGAAAGGTCTTATCTCTGTTCGTGCACTGCATGTAGCATTTAAGGAATAAAAGATATTTACTGTGTTTGCACAGGCTTTTAAATTGCACCTGTTCGAAAGTTCTCACAAACATCTCCGGGGAATGTTTAGTAGCCAAATTATTTTTAAAATAGATTTCACATTACAAGTTATTTTATGTATTTCAGCTTGGATTCTCTAAACGAAATCGACCTCCAAAGGAGATATCACCTTCGCAAACAGATGAAGCACAACAGACTGAAGTTTAGGATAAATTAGGATTTTTATCTTCTTTCATTTGTATTATTGGTAATTAATGCACTGTTTGTACGGCAGACTTACTTGACAATTTTATTTACGTAAAACTCGTACAATGAATCAATAATTTCCAGCACAATAATTAAAGATAGTAAGTGTTTTCTGTCCGTTCATTATTAACATGATATGCTTACTGCAACCGTAATTTAAAATGGCTAAAAAATTGTACGTTTCGTTATCACCATGTTTTCGTCAATTCGTTGGTACGTAGGTACCAATTAGTATATCCTAAACAATCTCTATCACACAAATCGTGTTTGTAGTTGAATTTAACACATTGTGGATTGACTAATGATGACTTTCATTCTCGAATTTATCTCCCTCGGTCGAGAACTTTTTTCTCAACACTTGTTTTATTCTCGCGTGTTTGGATCGGGCCATCCAAACACGGAAACCATTTAGTAATCGTTTACTTGACATTTGTATCATTAAACTGACAGTTTCATGTGATGTTTTTAGTTCAAGGGAATAATTGTCGTTATGTTTATTGTCCGAATTGTGGCACTTTTCATCTATGTTCCATTTGACATCAAGTGTAAACTACTTGAACGTGCTCCTCCACTTGATTGCAATCAAGATGGTTTGGTGCCTGGATCAGAGTACTGGATGTTCATCTGGCTTACGTTGACAATTGTTTTTGCAGTTTTCTTTTATCACATTAACAAAGAGCTAAGACAGCATAGATCCAAAAAGCTGCTTGATGATGGCAAGTTTATGTTTCGCATAGTTTTACTTCTGTTTACAGCATTTTACTACTTTTATCGGATGTATGAAAATCCTAAAAATTGGCCCATATCAGTTCTTTTGGTTCTTTGGCCAATGGCAATGGTCTTTGTTATGTATTGCTTTAACCGTACTGAAGATTCTTCAAATGAGCTCTTTAGTTGTTACAAGCTTAATCTATACATGTACTTCATTGAAGTAGTCTGTATGTGGTTTCTTGTTGCTCTTGATACTGCATATGATGTAGCGCCAATGCTGGAAAATCAATTTGAAAACGAGGAATTAAAAGGGCTTGTTGTTGTACTTCTTGGTTTAAGACTTTCTTTTCATCAAAAATTGGTGTTTTTCTTCTGGCGCAAAATATTTGATAGCGGCAAAGACGTAGTTATAACATAGTGTGACTTAATTTACTCCCATCATTTTGAAGAATATATACCACGAAACCTTATCTTATAATTAAAAATATTATCTGTAACTAAACGAACCACGCTAAAGACACATCAAAAGACATAGAAAGCACCAAGATTTACACATCATTTTAGATGAAGGAATTTGTTTCACCAGCGTTGCCCAAATTTGTGTAATTTAAACTGATTTGTCCTTAGAACATGGAATTTTTGTTAAATTTCTACTAGGAATGTATTCATTATCTATTTTCACTATTTTTTGACGAATTAATCTAGCTACTTCAAATATATTTAATTTCAAACGTTGTATATACGAATCGATTTTGTTTCATATTTCACAGTTTACCATGAGCAGTCATTCAAGCTTCTGTTATTTTCATGTCGAAACAACTAAATGATATATTCTTTTCTTATTTAACCGAATGTAATTCTTGAACTAGAAAATACTCCTGTACTGTCATGATCAAAACTTAATCAATAAGTACTAATAGTTCCCGCCATATATAATGTTATCAACAAGTATTACTATTTTTAAATCGCAATCGACCTCCAACGTTCTAAAAACAATATCACTTGTCCTTGTTGCCGGGTGTCAACAATAATAGCGACAAAATAATCTTTTGTATAATATCTCTAACATGGTTAAAAGCTAAAAGCATGTCACAAATACTTCATGATTTTTGTCATTCGATTGCTTTTTCCCGACAGAATTATTCCCTAAATTTTAGGTGGCTTAATAAAGATCACACCAACTTTCTTTCATGCAGTATCGATGAATTTACTTACCTACTTTCTTTAATGCAAATATTATATGCACCCATGACTTTAACTTTACTTGACGTTTTGAAACTTTTTTAATTACATTTCTCTTTTAAGAAATATTGCACATGTCCTCGGTGTTCACCATCAGTAGCGTCAATATGTAACTTTTGCCTTTTGCAATATTATCAATACCATTAGTGAATATATACCACATAAGTTTAGTAAATACTTATCGCCTACGTTAGTTCAAAATAAGGACTAACAACGCTTCCAATTCTGTTGTGTGAAACATTTGCTTTATAATATCTTTATCAAAATTACATCTCATGATGCTCATAATTTTTGTCTTTTCATGCCATGTTTGATAAATTTCAAGTTTGCAATCAACCTCAAACAATGTTGCTCGTTCACATCGGTTTGCCGCTTAAAGTACAAAAGATAAAGTATTCTTTATTATAAAAACTCCGATGTGGCTGAAGTCATGCGTCATAATACAAAATCCTGTGTATGACCTGTTCTTGAGATGCTTTTACCTGCCAAAAATATTATTATTGGGTATTATAAAGATTAAGGAAATTATCTGTCTGGGGCGTAACTACAGGGGGGATGTAGGGGTCAATCTCATACTTCCTCAATCTCTCAAACTGGAACATTCGTTGGGAAAAACTGCTTAGATTTATTTCAGAGATTATTCTATAATGTAATAATGATCAAGTGGGAATTAAGAAAGGACTAACTCATAAGCCAATAAAAACAACTGATAGAGCTTATTTGACAAATCCATATCGTCAATGACATTATAGTTCCAGAATTTTCGATAGTGCAGTATCATGCATGTTTCGAATTTTTCATCAACATTGCTCCGAATGTGCTTACTCTGGCCATGGAATGAGTTAGTCTGCCATTTAGCTTTGCCTTCAGGTCTACGAATAATGCTTATAACTAACTAGTCTACTGCAGCAAGTCCATATTATTAAGTGATCAATCAACATCAAACACCCGGAATTAAATGAAAATTGTGAGAACCGTTCGGTAACTATTCAATAATTTCAATTCATTGTGTCATCCAGCCACTGAAGTACTTGAATGTCTATATACAAGGCTCATTTTCGAAAAGCGGAGGCATAAAGAGAAACCTTTCCTATGAAGTCAAAAACTTGGCGAAAATGCGATATCGATTCATAGTTGAATGTAAATCATTTGTTTTACCAATGAATAGTGGCTATTTTGCAAAGCAAAATCATATTAACCATCCGTGAGTTGTATTGACGAAAAAAAAACACGCCAACAGAAAGGTTCTCGAGATGAAAGAGGCGATTGATAAAACTGGCGAAGGACAAGCGAAAGAAATATTGGAATCATTTGACTCTAGAATTCCAATCACAGAAGGTCTGTCTTACCAGTATTACGACAGCATCAATATCTGGAGCTTACAAGGGTGTCCAAAATGCATCGTAATAAAACATATTTTGTTAGATAAAATAAAAATTCAACTCGATCATTTCGAGAAGTTTAGAAAGAACTTCAAATTTTCCTTTCGCAGAAAATTTAAGCATCTTTTCGATTTGATTCATTAAAATACCATTCAAATGCATTTTCGATAAAACTCGACTTTATCTCTGTACCATCAATAAATTTTTTTTCTGAAACTTTTCAATTGGAATATATTCCCTAATCACAGCTCAAAAGCTGTCGAGTTCAGTGTGATCTACAACGTCATGGAAGAATTTTACGAAATTTTCAGCAAAAACTTCATCAAGAACTTTAAAGATCAGCAGAAAAATGCACAACAAGCTTTTAAATTTCGCAATTTGCTGAAGACCCGCTTCATTTAAGCACTGTGAAGTTCATTTGATGTTTCCAAATAATCCTTTCTACGATAAAAGATGTGCAGGAATCTAACAATGACAAAACAACGACGCAGAAGGCATCAAGATTAGGGAAGAACTTTCTCGTACTCAATTTTATATTCGCTGTAATGTTTATGAGGGGGTAATGAAGAAGAGGCACGTTTTGATAAACCAAATGCTAAAACCCGAACTTAATATCTTAGATGCTTTAAAACACGAGGAAGGAGCTGTTGCTTCTCTGGAAAGAATACGGATATAAAAGTAGCTTGGAATTCTTTAGGTCGTTTGGCTACGACACCAAAGAAAATTTTACGTAGAAAAGATCAAGGAGAATATATACTTGAATTAATGATCATCTAGAATTTGCAACAAATATCCATTTCCAAGTTCATTATTGCAGGGTGAAGTGTTGAGTTTTGGATCTTTGGAGCTTTGCGGAAGTTCTTTAGCCCCTACTGAAAGAAGTAGTTCACGAGCAACTTGAATTTGTGTTAAACCTTTTCTTTCCGTCTTTACCTGTTGAAACTGATATATTTATGTATTTATGAGTTTAGGTGTTTGAAGTCATTGTAAACATGGCGAACGAAGCCTGCTACACTGGTCGTGATGTTGCTAATATGATATCAGGAACTACAATATCCTAGATTGTTTTTAGATTAAACAATTAAAATGGCTCATCCTGTGCCCTATAATAATGATAGAAGCCAAGATCATAGAATTACTGTACTAACCTATGACTTTTTTATGACTTTTTTTGTCGTGTTTGTGGCTCCTTGTCACTCTTAATACTGCATACAGTGTGGCCAAATGAAAGAGGCCAGATGCTTGATTGCATGGTTTCAGATTTCCCTTCCATATAAAGTTCTTGCATCCTTATTTTGGGACAAAATATTTGATAGTGGCGAAACCTTATTACACCAATGTCAACCATCACATACTGCATAAATTGCTTTAAACTGATGTCAAGGTTAAGCTGTATAATGGACTAGAACTCAGAAGGAAAATGACCTTTTCTTGTATTATCCGATGTTACATATATACATATTTGTCTAATTATTAACTGTTCTAAATTATTATTCCATATATTATACAGCCTTGGTTAAGCACTTTGAAACGTATTCAGAAAGCTGACTCACACTAACTGAATGCAGTACAGAAATCCCGCTTCATTAAAAATCAATGGGAAACTCATTTCTCCAACACTAGCAAAATTTTTCTAAAGCATTTCAAATCAAACAATCAGTGTAGTAAGACAGTTATGAGATGATTTAAAATGGCCAGCTAATTAATGTGAGTGCGTGTAAGTGACATTTTAAAATGCATGATGGTGTACATTTTTG